GTTAGCCTCTTTGGCGGGGCCGCTTTTCTACCTGGCCAACGGCGGTCTCGGATGAGTCCCGCTGAGCCCTCGACCCCAAGACATCCCCTCGCCCGGTCGAGGTCCAGATTCCCAGGCTGTCAGCCAGGATTCTCCGCCCTTCCTGCCCCGTCGGGGTTCTGGGGGCTGCCCCACTTTTCCCTCTCCCTCTGTTCTGCGATGCTCGCTTCGCCTAAATCAGGAGCTGGAAAGAGAAAGAGGGGCGACGAGGCGTACAGAGAGGAAGGAATGGGGGTTCTCTTGCCTTGCTTCGTTTCCTCTCGTTTCTCACTCCTTTGCTCGGGAAAATGTCCCCCCATCTCCCGGCCTCGTCTGAAATAAGGGCCTTGGTTTGCGCAACCGATTCGTTATTCGGGGAAATCTACTCAGTCCTTCTCTTTAATGTGTTGTGTGAACTAAACCGCGCTATGGTTTGTGTCCGGCTGGCAGACAATGCGAACGCAGCAGTTGTGCTCTAATAATCTGGCTTAGGTTTTAGACTAGTGTTGTGTGAAGGAGACTTTCTGCACTGGACAGGGCGTCCTTAAATCCATTTTAGTCTAGTAAACTCTTGAGGGCTCGAACTCGGCTTCGGTCCCTCGAGAGAGTCCCAGCACACCCCGAGGGCGCCGAGGCCACAGATTTCCCCCTTCGGAGCCAGCCCCACCTCACCTCCTCCCTTTTGCTGCCTTTTCAGGAGGGTGGGGCCCCATTCAACGAGCCTCTGGGATAGGAGATCAATGGCTAAATTCAAGCCCGCGACCGTTGCTCTTTACATCACACTACAGCCGCGGGATAACCAGGACCAGGTGCGGCCCCGTTTCTCCCAAGCGCGCATCTTAACGTGGATGTGCTTTTGGTGTTGTTTTTCTCCCCACAGGAAAAGCCCCATAAGTGCAACCAGTGCGGGAAAGCGTTTAACCGGAGTTCCACGTTAAACACCCACACGCGCATCCACGCGGGCTACAAACCTTTCGTCTGCGAGTTCTGCGGAAAAGGCTTTCACCAAAAAGGTAAACCAAACCGCTGAGGTTAGAGTGTCAAACAAGGACTGGCTCTGAATTATCGCTGTAAAACGGAGCCTGCAGCTGGAATGGGTTGGGGGGAGGGACGGGGGGGGGTCTGCCCGTTTGTTTCTGGTGGGAGGCCTGACAAGTAAACCAGCAGCAGATTCTGTCCTAAAACTACCATTCCCAGCCACGGAACTGGAATTCAGCGCGTCTGGTTTTAGAGAAGAGTAATAGGGAAATGGCACTGTGAAAATGTAAATACGAAAAAATGTGCGTGTGTGTGTGTATATATAAAAATATATGAAATTGTAAATGTAAAAAGTTTTTGAAGTTCGTTTCTCAGATGTGGGAAACCGTTGCTGTCCATTTCTGCACAAAACCGATAAGGTTTTGCCTTATATCTAATCTTTTTAAGTTTTATTTTTCGATGTATTTAATCGGGCAGGTAGAGTAAGAAATTTATTTGATTTTTAAATGTTAAGCATGATTACAACTGTAATTTCACAGTTACAATTCTTTACAAAAGAATGTTTACCTGGAAATAAGTTCCACGATTGGGCACAAATTTCAAAATACTTATGCTACCTGTACTGCAGTCTGAGAAAATTCTCGGTCTACTGTCCCTTTGTCAGAAAGCAAATATATATATATATATATATATATATATCCCTATTCAGAAATGTCTAAAATTACAGCCTAAGGTTGGCTTTTTTTCAGTTACTGAAGAGTAATTCAAGAGTGAATGGGATTTATTCCCCACAGAACAAAGTTGAGCTTAGAGGCTGTGCCAATTGAGGAAATTACCCCTCCTGTTCTTTTTAACTCTTCCATTTCTTCTGAGAAAAATATCCGTTGCCGTTTTAGCCGGATCTGTAAAGAACAAAAGATAAAATCCTAAAAACAGAGTTACCGATTTGCGATTAAACCTCACTGTTTACAACGGCTATGTAAACATGTACGCTATTTTCGCTGGAAAGTTTTATAGTTCAACTTTTCGGAACTTTGTTCTGACAAAAGCGAATTTATTTCTTTACAGCCAGTTAAAACAAAATGTCTGTGCACCCTTGCATCCTGATTTAACAAATTGTTCAATTTTGTTGGCTTGATTCCGCTGCTGGTGGTTGGCATTTCAGAAATGGGATGCTAAGGAAAACCGATTTCAAGGGATCTACCTGGGGAACCCTGTGAATCCTGCAAAAATCTATTTAGTGATTGGATCCAAGACTTTGGGAGATTCCAGTTTGGGATTTTGCGCCTGGGTTGGTTCCTCCCTGTTCAAGATCATGGTGAAATTCTGTTCCATTGTGGCAAAGTTTTCCGTTCAAAGAGTAGCAGGCAAACCACAGAAACCCAACTTAAATATTTGTCACGAGGGAAACCTGCATACAGGGCATGAAGTCAGCAAGTTGTGTGAATGAAACTATTCTGGTTGATAACGCGGATCTGGACTTCAAAAAGGCCGGCTAAGATGTGAGTTGCAGACCCGCGAAAGAAAGGATGCGAGCTGAGTTACAGAACCCCCGTTTTGTTGTATTATTAGAGTTCATCGAAATCAGACAAACCTTTAGACCGGATTGGGCGTTTTTATCCGCCAACTCCCAAGGACCTAGCATAGGAAGACGCGGAAATCTGATAGTATTAAAAGCTGTTCCGCGTAAAGCTGGCTTTTGTGATTGACCGATGGTGATTTTGTATGATTTTGTGATTGACCGATGATGATTTTTATTATTATTGTTATTGTTGCTGTTGTTGCTGTTGTTGTTGTTGTTGTTGTTGTTGTTGTTGTTGTTGTTGTTCTTCTTCTTCTTCTTCTTCTTCTTCTTCTTCTTCTTCTTCTTCTTCTTCTTCTTCTTCTTATTATTATTATTATTATTATTATTATTATTATTATTATTATTATTATTATTATTATTATTATTATTATTATTATTATTATTATTATAGGGAACTACAAAAACCACAAGCTGACCCACAGCGGCGAGAAGCAGTTCAAGTGTACCATTTGCAACAAGGCCTTCCACCAGGTCTACAACCTGACCTTCCACATGCACACCCACAACGACAAGAAGCCCTTCACCTGTCCCACCTGCGGGAAAGGCTTTTGCCGGAACTTTGACCTCAAGAAACACGTCCGCAAACTGCACGACAGCGGCGGGGGCGGAGGCGCCTCCCTGGGGCTCCCTCGAGGCGGCGGCGGCGGCGAGCCAGACCTGCCGCCGCCGCCGCTGCTTCACCGCCCGTGAAAGCGCCCCGGGCGCGCCCTTCTGCGGTCCCCCCCCCCGGCTTCTCGCACTCGCTCCCGAGGAAGCCGCGCTGCTGCTAGCAGAAGCAGCGGGACTCCGTGAACTTCGGCTCCTCGGTTGCTGCCGGGGGGGGGGGAGGGGGAGCAAAAAGACTGCAACTGCCTTCTCCCCCCCAACACACACACACACACGATTTGCGGAGGGCGGCGCTCCGGGCATGTATTTATTGAGCCTTGCCAGATCCAACAAGGACGCCTTGGCCATCTCTCTCTCTCTCGGTTGTTCCTGCATGTGTGTGTATGTATGTGTGTGTGTGTGTGTGTCCGTGTGTTTGGAGCAGCAAGGCTGACTCTGCGGACTGACGGTGCTTGAGCTCGCCCGAGAAGGAGAAGGGGGTGCTGGTGACAAAATGTAGAATGTCAGCGAGTGCCTGCCTTTCCACGTGGTCTCCTTTCCCCGTTTCCTTCCCTTCCCCCAACGAGACTTCGCAGCCAGTAGGAAGCAAATGAAGAGGCGCGCGCTTCGGAAGGAAGCGCTTTCGATTCTAGTTTTTTTTCCCCCCAAGTTTCTATTTTTTCCAAGTGCTGGAGAAAGAAAAAGGCGGAGTGGGATCCTCCGGATACCGAAGTCCAGAGTTAGTTTTTCATCTGGCCAGGAACTCAGCAGGCTCCTCAGCTGGGCCCGTGGGGGTTCCCTGTCCCCCAGAAGCATTTCCTGGAAGCAATATACTTCGGGCGTCCTAACCCCCCCCCGGGCGGTCCCTTCGCATCACTAGCGAAAAGGATGCGCTCCCCTCCTCCCTAAAAAGACGGGCCCCTGTTGGTCCTTCCAAAGACCTGGCCCTGAATCCAGAAGGGGAGCAAAATCGCTCCCTGTTTGCTTCCTACTCCTAATAGAACCCGGGAAGAGAAATTCGGTCCCGTTTCTCTGAATTACCTGGATCGGGGCCGTTCTGTAAATCGGTTTAACCCAGGGGTAGTCAACCTTGGCTCTTTTATGACTCGTGGACTTCAACTCCCAGAATTCCTGAGCCAGCTAAGCTGGCTCAGGAATTCTGGGAGTTGAAGTCCCACGAGTCATAAAAGAGCCAAGGTTGACTACCCCTGGAACTTTAACCCAAGACCCGAATGTGGATCTCGGTAGACTCCCTTGATAAGCGGACTGTTTTAAGGGGCGCAGTGAATGTTAGGCCTCTAAATGAAACGCGCCCGTTAGAAAAAGGGGCTACTAGACTCCTCCTGATTTTTTGCCCCTATGGGCCAAGGTGCTTCTTTTCCAACGAAGCTGAACCATAGGGGGGCGCTTCTTTATGGTATCCAAGGCGCCCATCCCCTTGCCTACCCGATCTCCTTGGCTGCTCCTTCACTAGCTTGAGGATCCCGGCAGACTCCCCGCGCTGCAGAAAGGACTGATCTGAAAGGCCAGTCCAAAAGAAAAAAGGGGAACCCGCGTTAGGTTTCTTGTCGAGGGCCCCGTTCCTTCTGCGGTGTCCCTTTCCCCCCCGAGGACAATCCCAAAGATTTCCCTGGACTGCATGTGTGAATGGATACGTGCGCGGGTTTGAGTGTCTTACCGAGAAAGACCTAATTTTGTCACTAAATACCTTGAAAGTACTCCAGTGCACCCTCCAGGGGGGGAATCCTCCCCCCCTTCATCTCCTTCCTGGAGGCCTCCACCGTGTCCCCTTGGATCTGACAATCCCCGTTTAGGCGTCCTCCAGACTCCTTTGCTGTACATAGAGATTTTTATCACCCGCTGTGTTGGTTGACTTTGCCTGCTGGTCGCTTCTGTTTGTCCCTCGGATTCTCGATTTCTCCCTTGTGGGTCGCTTCTCCTTTTTTTCCCCCCTTCTCCATTCCCACGAACCCACCTTTCATCTCCTTCCCACTTCCCCGACCCTCCTATTCTACCCCTTGTGGAGGTTTGTACGGATCTGAAATTTCCAGTTGTATTTTTTTAAATTATTATAATTATGATTATTGCACGTGCAGAAAAAAAAAACAAAAAAAAAACACCCAGGGACTGGGGGTTGGTGGATTTGGTGGCAAATAAAAGAGGTGGCTCGCCTCTTTAAAAAACGGAAACACCGGTGGCTGTTTCTCCTGCCTGGCAAGGAGGAGGGGGCGAGGGAAGGGATTCCTCTGGGGGTCGCCCGCCCACCCACCAACCTCGGAAGGTGAGCCAAGTAGCAGAGGTGCCAACGTGGGTCCTCGAGAGCGCCTAGCCGGGCGCGGGTGTTGTCTAACTACGAAACGGTCCTGTCCGCTTGCCAAGCCACGGATCTAACTGCTAAAAAGAGTTTAATTAAGACTCGAGGGTAATTAGTTCGGATTGATCAAAGCTCCGGGCCTCGAGAGACGATCCTCTGTCAACTCCTCCTTTCCCCCCCACCCCCGGGCGCGCGCTTCTTGGCAAAAAGAGGAGAAAGAGCTGAAAAGGGAGCTTTGTCCTTCCGCCGCCGCCCTCTTGCCATAGCTGACCAGTCCGGGGTGGGGGGGGGAGGGAATCTGCCCCCCTCCCTCACTACTGAGTGAAAGTGATGCGCAGAGGGGACGCATCCACTTCTCGACCGGATCGTCCCTGAAGTGAAGAACGGCTCTACTCCAGGCAGAGGCCAGATTAGGGGATCTGAAGTCTTTCTCTGCCCTTTTCAAGCTACAAGTTTAGGGGCTCCTACCCCTCGCCTACTCCGCGCCCTTCCCCCCCCCCGGTTTCATGGGCGGCTGCCTCGCCCGAGGAAGAGCGGGCGGACTTGAGAGCTGGCAGGGCGCTAATTGGTGGCCAATAAAAAGATCTTCTCCTGGTTCCGAGCTGGGCGTTTATTTTTATTTTTATTTTTTAAAAAGAGGCAACTTCCCTCCCCCTCCCCTTTGACCGAGAGACCGGCTCCGAGCGATCAGGGGGACCCAGAGGGAGTAGGGCAGATATAGGGTGGGTGTGTGGTGGTGTTGGTGGGGCGAAATGTAAAAAGTCAGGAGCAGCGAGCGGGCCCGACCGCTCCCCCCACCCCCCCGATTTCCCAAAGAGAATGAGACCAGTTCGCTTTCTTAGGCCAGGAAAACGGCAGCGCGCCGAATAACTAGAACCCGAACGGATTGAGGGACAAGCGGCCGAGAAGGTCGTGGGCAGTAGGTCAGGACGCGTGCAAGCACCTCTTTCTCTACTGACTCGGGATTAAAGCCTGCCCCACGTGCTCCCACGAGGCGGGTTTCTGAAAGAGCTTGGGCTGAAACGCCGGCGTACGCCTCACTGTGTCGTGAGAACCAACCCACCCACCCAACCCCCAAAAATAACGATAGTGCTCAAAAGGGTCCAAAAGGGTCCAAAACCAGACTGGCGGGTCATCAGCAGCTCCCACTGAGGTGGGGGGGTCCTCTCAAAGTAGAAAATGTTATAATAATAATAATGATAAAGTTGGAAGGGACCTTGGAGGTCATCTAGTCCAACCCCCTGCTCAGGCAGGAAACCCTATACCATTTTGGACAAATGGCTGTCCAGTTTCTTCTTAAAAACTTCCAGTGTTGGTGCATTCACCGCTTCTGGAGGCAGGTTGTTCCACTGGTTAATTGTTCTAACTGTCAGGAAGTTTCTCCTTAGTTCTAGGTTGCTTCTCTCTTTGGTTAGCTTCCACCCGTTGCTCCTTGTCCTGCCTTCAGGCGCTTTGGAAAATAGCTTGACTGCAGTGCTGGACTGCACACCCCCCCTCCTCCAAGCTCCCCGGCATAGCCGTTTGCATAGCCTGAGAAGACTGCCCTTTGGAATGACCACGGAGGGAGCCCAAGGAGAGACCGAAACTCAGTCCCGAAGCCCGCAGAAGGCGCGGGAAGACGAGCCTGGTGCTGACCGCGCCGGGGCGGTGGGGAGCCCGAAGAAGGTGGGAGGGGGGGGGCAAAGGAGCCAAAGGCCGCCCCTCCCTCTCATGGGCCTCCTTTGAGCTCCGCTTGCCCCCTCCCACCAAAGGCAGGCGATCCTCATGCGCAGCCCCTCGCCCAGGCTCGGAACCCTCCACCCCCCCACACCCAGGCGCAGCCCCATGGTGCTTGGGGTGGGGTGTCAACGGCTGCCCCCTCGAAAGATGCAAAAGGGGGGCGGGAAGGCGAGACTCGCCCAGTCGCTGGGATGAGAAACTTCAAAAACACCCACTTTCTGCCGGGGGAGGGGAAAGCACCCAGGGCGACCCGAGTCGCGATTTTAGTTACACCGACCCTTGCAGCCCGCCCGGCTGGAAACCTTTGAGTTTGCCCGGACCGACCGTCTCCGGTCCAGTGGCTTCGCCTGAGTGCTGGGAGATTTTTTTCTCCGGCATCCGGTCCAGTGGGCTTATCGGCACCGAGCTATTTGGTTTGGGATTGGTTTTCCTCCACAGATAGGGTTGCCAGGTGTCCACTATTTGAGTGGACAGTCCTCTTTTTTCACATTATGTTCACTATTTTTTTCCACAAAATAGTGGACATTTTTTTTATTCAAAAGCTTTATGATGAAATGGTACGTAATCTAAAGCTGTACAGTCTACTTTTTTTTACTACTTAAACCCCCCCCCCCCGCTTGTCCGCTATTTTTTGGAAGCAGACCTGGCAACCCTATCCACAGAATCTCTTTAGGCGGCGCCCAAAAATGCCACTTCAGGGGAGCGGTGTCAGGATTTCTTTGACATAAAAAGAGGGGGGGGGAGAGAAAGCAACCTTGGGACCTTTGCTTGGAAGCGCCCCACGAACGGCTGCCACGTAGAAACCCCACTGGATTGTAGAAGCCCCCGCACTGGGAGGGGGGAGGGAGAGGGAGGCTGAAGTTGTTAGCAAGGAAACATAGCTAGATCAAAGCCTCCCCCTTTGTTTCCCAATTCTGTTACGGGCGGTTGGTGCGCTGGCTAAAAGATAATGGGAGATTAACCCGAATCATCTGGAGGACACCAAATTAGGCAGACCGCTTTAAACGCTCCCAGGGAGCACTCGTCGC